ATATTGATTTTAAGCATTTCTTTTTCAAAATAGACGCGAAAGTTTACGAGGATGTATGTACGTCTGGATGTGCCTATAGATGTGTGGATGTTTGTTACTCTTTAACGCAAAAACTACATTTTGCGTGATTTTAATGAACCTTTATAATAATATATCTTGTACACCAGAATAACACACAGGGTACTTTTTATTCCCGAAAAATGTACGGTTACCGTGGGATATTCTTTTTTTTTGTTTTTCGAGAGGCAAACCCGCGCACAGCGAGGGTGAGCCGCTAGTAAATATGTATATAAAATTAACCTTCTGACAGCTAATTCACTAACACCAGAATGTAAACATAAGACATAAAAGAATAATTTTATAATGGAAAACCACTAAGAAATAATGAAATTCCATCTCTAAGGTAGTGTTAAAGGCAGTGTAAAAGGGTAAAAAAAGTGTAAAAATTTCTATGAAAAACAACTATAATCTTGTTTTTACTTGTGATACAAATTCTCTACAACACAATAAATGAAAAAACGTATACGTATTCCGTGTTTCTGAAATAAATAATTCGTAGGTCCAAAATTTATAAAATGTGCATTTATATATATATATATATATATATATATATATATATATGTGTGTGTGTGTGTGTGTGTATTGGAAAATATATTTTTTGTGAATTCCGTGTTTCTGAAATAAATAATTCGTAGGTCCAAAATTTATAAAATGTGCATTTATATATATATATATATATATATATATGTGTGTGTGTGTATTGGAAAATATATTTTTTGTGAAGTGTCAAATTGAAATACTACAAGATGAAGGAAGGGAGGTCTATTTTAAGTTATATATTTGTAGAAATATCGTTATTTTATAGTACTATGGTCGATGCAGCAATATAGATTTATTATTCTATTCTATTTTAAATAAAAATAAAATTGTTTCTGTGTGTCTCTCTTTTTTGTTGTGATTCTGTAAGAGAATATCTTCTTAGAAAATAAATCTTTAAGTTCTCATTCCTCTTTTGTTGAAGTACCAATGGCTGTATCTGACGCAGAAATTAGGGTGGGCTAAGAGTGGGGCACTCGCTAAGCTTTCCTTGCATTCTTAGAAATCTGTAAGCGTGTCTAAGGAAATAGATTGTGATCCTTGAGTATTATAACAGAAGATCATGACCAAATTAGCTTTGTCAACCGACTTCAAAAAGGAGGAGGTTCTCAATTCGACTGTATGTTTTTTTTTTACTTAATTCACTAGGTCTTTTTAACAAAAGATACAAAACATCCCACAAATAACAATACATTATTATTGTTACACAGATTTTTTTTCAGTGGAATCACTGATTATTCAAGAAAAAAAATCTCATTCATCGACTCGTAAACTATACATACGAGTATATGCGAAAAATCATACAACCTACGGTTCCGTTGTTGCGTTTAAAAACAAAAATACTTTTGCTTTTATAATAATAGCAAGGATTCCTATAAAGCTATAAAAAACCCTCCAATTTAGTAATTTTTATACAAGAAACCGCAGAATGATTTTTATATCTGTACGGCCCTTTCTTTTCCTCCGACATACCAAATTATATGAAATCTATACAAGTTTTTAAAAATGTTTATATTAACGGATCCCTCTTAACAAGCGTAGCTTTTTCCCCCAAATTAAAAACTTTAGTACGTTTGTAACAACAGGATTGTCATAAAAAATTTATACCCTCTTCCGTGGGGACGCTTGTGTTCTTTTTACGGAATTAAAAGTACTTACTCAAAATGTCCGACCGGATATAAAACCACAACCTCATCAAATTACAATTAGATTAGATAAAAGATGCTCGGAAATTTTAATATTTTAATATCATTAATAGTAAGAAAAACTGCTAATAAAGTATAAAATAGATTATAGAAGTTCTAGCATCTAGAATTAAACAAATTCCTATTTTTCTTTCAAGTCTCGAATAATCTTAATGTTTTTTGAAAAAGAAAAATATAATTAATTCCATATATACTCACAGCACGTCCTTTCAGACGTGCTAAAATTTATTTTAAATATAAATGTTCAACTGTAGAGTGCCGTGCTAAATCAATTTCTCAGGCGAAGGTATGGAAACAAAAGTACTCTAATTGGATGTCGTTTTCTTTGGGATATTCTTATCTACCAACTTTTAAAGAAAAATAAGCAGTTATAACTAGTGTAAGAAGGATTTTAATGAGTAATAAAATATAGCAGTAGTAAGCATAGAGAAGTTTACAGTAAGGAAGCTTCGTGCCCAGCAGTGGGATGTGAAAAATTTCTGAATACACATAATACAACGAGAAAAAGTTTTAATTAATGTTGACTAAAAACTGTATTTACTATTTATACCCAAATCCAATACATTTTCATTTTCAAAACATTATCCACATATTCATACATTCATATTACATACTAGCTTTACCCGCGGCTCCGCCCGCGTTCAGATGACCAAAAACCAAATTCTTAGGTTTTACATATTAGTATACTCTTACATTGCAGTTTTTGTATTTTTTCACAGAAATGAAATATTTTCCCTTGGTAAAAAGTATCCTATATATTGACCCGGATAACCAGCTATCCCCATACCAAATTTCATCCAAATCCTTCCAGTGGTTTTTCCGTGATGCGGTAACAGACAGACAGACAAAAACTCTAAAAACTATAGATTCGGCCTCTTCATCGATAATAATGTCTATTTCAATAAGATTTTCCATAAAATATTTAATGTACAGATTCGGATTAGTTACAATTTAATATATGTATAGATATCAAGTTGTATGAAGACAACACGACTTACACTTAACAGAGTTACGGATATAATTTGTTGCGGCTTTGTATATTAGCCGGGGACATGAATGCTCGTATTATTATAAGCACCTGTGGGTTTATATTTCATACTTGATACCCTCCCTTATAATTAATTATGTGGACTAAACGTAAAACGCTTAAGCTTTGTTGAAACTAAACACAACGTGAATTAAGTAATTTTCGGATTATGTAGGTTTATAAAGAGTGAAGAATACTTACTTTTACTGTACTGATTTCAATCTATACATATAATAAAATTGTAACTAAGCCAAATCTGTACATTAAATATTTTTTGGAAAATCTTATTGAAATAAGCATTATTATCGATACAGAGGCCGAATCTATAAGTTTTTAAAAATTTTGTTTGTCTGTCTGTATGTTACCGCCTCACATAAAAACCACTGGAGGGATTTTAATGAAATTTGGTCAACATACAAGATACTTTTTACCGCGGGAAAATATCTTATTTCTGAGAAAAAATGCAAAAACTGCAATGTAAGAATATACTAATCTGTAACCTAAGAATTTGGTTTTTGGTCATCTGAACGCGGGCGGAGCCGTGGGCAATGTTAGACATGAAATAAAAACATACTATATATTATATATAGTAAATATTATTTATAAATGGTAATGTTATACCTACTACATTTGCGCTCATCCTGGGAAGTCTTTCATTTGGAAGGAATGAAACTTGATTTTAATTACTGAATAACCTACTTACTCATTTTGTACAAATGTTTCATATTTTGTTAGTTGTCAAAAAGGATGTGGCAAGATATTGAAGGTTTTTATTCTACTTGCGTAATTCGTATGTCTCTTTTTCCTGTTTAAAATTTATGGGGTCCAATTGAGCTAAACTTAAAGTTTATATTGTTAATGATCCAAAGGAAATTTTTCATTCTAATATTATATCAAAAAGAGCTCCTTGAAGCATACAGAAAAATATTTTGAATATATTTAAGGTCTGATCTAAGAGGAAAAAAGCACTAAAATGATAAAATGTAGAGCAAAAAGAAAAGTTATTGATACAAAGAAATAGAAACTGATCAAATGTTATATATCTACAAACCTATGTTTGAAGCAAACATGAAAATGGAGCAACCATATGTCCATTGCGTCATAGCACTTTAGACAGGGATCCTATCGATATCCCTTTACTAGTCTAGCCCAAATGAATCAATCTCCCTAAATGCGATTCGCTGTCCCAAAGTTATATGAAATGTCTATCTCTGTTACGAAGCCTTAGTATACGAGTAGGTCTGAAACCATTGAAATTCATACATTTAAGAATATTCTAAAACTTATTTATAAAAAATTTTAATTTCATATAACGACATTCAAATGCCAAATAATTTCATTAGTAAAGTTACCGTAATACTCTGAAATATCTAAACCGCTAGGCTCACTTAAATCTTCACCATTTCGTTAATGTATAGTTAGCTTCCCTTTATTGCACATTATTTCTCAGATTTCACACATAAGTTACATGATATATTCCCCAACGTGATTTCGTACGCTGAGGTCATTTGTATCAACAAATAAACCCCATTCTCTCCCTAAAAATCTTTCGTCCTTTTGTGTTGTTCTTTTATACAAAGTATAAATATAGCTATTTGGATTCAGCCGTTGTCATAATATATATATTTTATTACTAAGATAAAATTGTGGTAGTAGTAAGTATTTTTTAAAACAAATAACATTTAGTAATTACTAGCGACTCACCCTCGCTCCGTTCAGGTTCGTCCCTAGTTACGTTTTATCGTTTAGTATAGATTTATCAGAGATGCGATATTTTCCCGTAGCAAATGGTATCCTATATGTTGACCCGGATAACCAGCTACACTCCTACACTTACGTTTCAACGTTTAGTATAGATTTCTTAGAGATGAGATATTTTCCAGTAATAAAAAGTATCCTATATTTTGACCCGTATAATTAGCTATCATCATAACAAATTTCATCGAAATCCCTTCAGTGATTTTTCCGTGATGCGGTGACAGACAGATAGACAGACAAAAATTCTAAATAATATAGATTCGGCCTCTGTATCGATAATAATGACTATTCAATAAGATTTTCCAAAAAATATTTAATGTACAGATTCGACTCAGATATAATTTTATTAAATATATCTATCTATACAGATAAACAAATATATTTTAATAATTACTTCATTTCAATTGTTACAGAGCTATTCGTGGAATGAAAAACACCCAGCACATTATTCTTATAGCAGTCGTCAAAAAGAGGTAAGGTTATATAATTTAAAAATCATTAAGGTTGTGATAAAATAATGATGTTAGTAGATATTAATATACTCGTACATTTACATCGTCGCGTTAGCTCATTTGCATTTGAACGATTAACCTCATAAGATAGAGCTCGAACTTGAAAACTTATTTTAATTGGAAACCAATACCTAATACCTACTTGCGGTACTAAGAAGCTAACAAAAACTTTAATCACTTTTGACTTTAAAAATAATTTTATTTCAAGCTAAACTTACTAAATTCAGCATTTTCTTTCGTTTTTTAGTTCAATTTAAAATGTCTGCCATTAATAAGTTACTCTGGACAATATTAGTTATCAAGATAAATATATTTTGCTTTTTTCTCCCTACCTCATTTATGTTTTATTTATTATTTATTACACGTACTAGCGACCCTAAATAACTTTGCGCGCATGTCACGATTTATTTTCATTTCTTATTATTTGCTAAACTACATACATTATAACCTAATGACGCACGAGTATTGTTAAGAGAAGATTTTTTTCTATTCTATAAAGATTAATATTTTGTATTTCACTATTTGAAATAAAAAATAAATTTTTCAATAACAGTAAAAAATCGCGTCTAAATTCTTCTAGTAGTTTTGGAGATTAGCGAGTATATAGAACGTACGTACAGACAGAAGGAAGACGCCGGATTTTCTTTTACATGTGTAGGCAAAATAAAAAGATAAATTAAAACAAATCAAGGTGAATCCTTTCACGTAGATACATCTTACTTAATGTTTAATTCATTAAGATGATGGAATATAAAGGAATTCGTCCGACTTCGGGATTAACCCAACCCTTTCAATCAAAATAACAATATTACACAAAAGAAATCTTATCAAAAAGCTTGTGTTATCATATTTTACAATGGAAGAAGAAAATTTTGTATCGGTTTTTTCATTATCTACGAGTATATACTAGAATATTGTTTATAGATGATTTCATTCGTAACCCTCTAAAGAATAAAAGTTTGAGAAGTTTTCTTATATAAGAGCTTTGTCTAAGATACTCCTGAAGTAAATACTAAACTAATATCACAGTGTGAAGTTGTAGGTTCAGTACGTGTAGCTGGATATCATAACAGAAATCTATACTAATATTAATAAGAGGCAGTAGTTTGTTTGTTTGATTGGACGCGCTAATCGCAGGAACTACTAAGACGATGTGACAAATCCATTTCGCATTAGATATCCCGTTTATTGAGAAAGGCTATAGGCTATAGATCCTACTACCCAAGAGAGCGGAGCAATAATCATAAATGTCAACAAGTCGGGTAAACTTCCATACATTATTGTAAAACTGTATACATATGTATATATTATATAAATGCGACCCCGAACGAAACGAGAATGAGTCGCTATATATGATAAAGCCAAAGGAGTTTTTTTTGTAAATTGAACGCAGGCGAAGCCGCGGTCCTGCTAGTTAGTTACTTTCGAAATTTCTGCTAATATTCAATAAAAAGCCCAAAACAAAACATTTTTCTCATCTAAAATTTAACTTCTTGAAGTCCTTGTAGTTTCTAAAAGACCATTGACACTTAAAATATAGAATATCCGAACGACATTTTTCGATAACAATTACTAATGTAATAATTAATGTACAATATTTTCAATGTAATTTAAGTTAATGCCTTATATTCTAAATAGATTGCTTATTACTTGCTTAGAACTTTTGTTTTGTTTAACTGTCTATCAATTTACGCGCAGATAAAGTAAAAACTTGTGAAATTTAAAAATGATTATGTTGAACTTTATTATCTGTCTGAAAAATATTGCTTAGTTTCATTTAAAAGCGCGAGTTCATTAAATAATTATTTCTTACTAGCATTGCCCGCGGCTCCGCCCGCGTTCAGATGACCTAAAACCAAATTCTTAGGTTTTACATATTACTACACTCTTACATTGCAGTTTTTGTATTTTTTCTCTTAAACAAGATATTTTCCCGCGGTAAAAAGTATCCTATATGTTGACCCGGATAACCTTAAAATTTCATTAAAATCCCTCCAGTGGTTTTTCCGTGATGCGATAACAGACAGACAGACAGACAAAAGTTCTAAAAACTATAGATTCGGCCTCTGTATCGATAATAATGTCTATTACAATAAGATTATCCAAAAAATATTTAATTTACAGATTCAGCTTAGTTAAAATTTTATTATATGTATAGATATATATAAAAATTAATATCGATAGCTAAAAATAGCTCAATTTTGTCAAACTTGAATTGTTCGTTTCATTAACACCTTATTTGATGACCAAAAGCCTACACAATTAACTTGATAGATGGGGCCGCAAATTACTTACGTAGTAGAACTGCCTGTCAAACAAAGTCTTCTCGGTTCACTTTATTACTTACAAATGTTAGAAACACTCGGTATATACATATATATTGGAATAGATTGGTACTATCAGATTGGTAAATTGCTTTATTGAAGATTAATTATTTCATATATTCAACAAATACAATTAGGATAATTAATTAAACTTAATTAATATCTAGATGATAGATATGTATATGTAATATTATATAACATAATAACTTTTGATCGACTTTAAAATCGCTTGAAATTAATTATTCTTGATAGGTTTTATACATTTTAATGGGTCGCCAATAAATATAAAAGGCTTGCGAATCGTATCGGACAATTGGTCTGAACTCTAAATACAACAGACAGATTTGTTCATCTGTTTACTATATATAGGAAATATCACTTTACACAAAAATGAAACGTTCTAGATAAAAAATAAAAAATGATACTTATCAATGTTATTGATATTTATATAAATAAAAATATTGATGGTTTCAAAACGAATTTAAAACAAGTGCTTACATTTTTTTTTTAAATTATGAAAATGGATAACACGCATTATTAAATTGTTATAAGCTTTTTTTGATAATGTACATATTCTATCTCATGAAATTTTAAGTCAATTCTATATTTATGTTTTATTATTTAAATATTGTGTTATAATATGTGTAATAATGTGTTATTATCTAAATTTAAAAAAAAACACGCAGTTTGTGCAATGTTTATATAAACCACTATCCACTACCCCGCGATAACTCATTATGTGTGATTAATTTTATTCCAAACTAGCAGAATCCGCGGCTTCGCTCGCGCTAAAACTACAAAAAAAACTCTAAAAAAAGGTAGGTTTTGTACAAACTTTCATCCCCTATTTTACCCCCTTATGGGTAGAATTTCGAAAAATGTTTAAATACGTATTTATTTAATTGTATTGAAGAGCATTAATACCATTTTCGAGCAATTATTGTGATCATAAATATTTTTTTGCGTTGTATTATAACGTGTTTTCCCGTGGGAATTAGATAATCTTCTGTGGTAAAAAATAGCCTATGTAACTATCCCACCCTCCAACTATCTCCACACAAAAAATCACGCCAATCCGTCACTCCATTTCGACGTGAAAGAAGGACAAACAAACAAACTAACTAACAAACACACTTTCACATTTGTAATATTAGTATGGATATGGATATTGACCAGCGATATAAATTGAATCATCTCTTTTTATATAAATTTTAATTAAAAACAGTTTTTTTTAGTAACAGAACTTGTAAATGATTTATTGATCGATTTTTTACCTACAGCGTCTAGCTAGGGTACAAAAATGAACAGTTTTGATTATTATATTTATAAAAATATGATATACACTAATTTAAAGTTTAAATATATTGCTTTAACTTGAATATTGTAGATTTTGAAAAGGCCTACAGAAAAGTCTGCGATAGCATATATCTGTCTCCTAAGGTACACTCGCAATAACTATTTATACATACATAGTATCTATTTAAAACGTACCTAGGGACGCATTCGAGCCAAGCGAGGGTAAGTTGCTAGTAATAATAATAATAAGGCAGTGGTATCCCAGTGGTAACGCGCTCGCTTGGAAAACCGAGTGAAGCGGGTTCAAATCCCGGGTCTCGCACCTCTGATATTTTCATGTGCGAATCATTCCCAACATGATTACCACTTGTCTTAACTATGAAGAAAAACATCGTGGAGAAACCTGCAAGTCTGAGAGAACCTAGCAAGTTTTCGAAAGACATGTGAAGTCCGCCAACCTGCACTTGGCCAGTGTGGTGGACTATGGCCTGATTCCCTTCGTACTGAAGGGAGACCCGTGCCCAGCAGTAGGACGTTAAAAAGGGCTAAATAGAATAATAATAAAAATGTTTATAACTACCTACGATTAATTAAATATTTAATTGTATTTAAACATATTTCATTTTGTTAATTTAGCCATCCACTGCAATTTACAAATAAGTAAAAAGTGAACTTATTTTTAAATATACTCGTATAGTAATCCAGTTTTACTAAATGATAGACATATTTCATGAACATTTCCATATACGAAAAGGAAAAAGAGAAAAGACGAATATGGTCATATTTTTAAGAGCTTCCAAAAACGACACTACAAAGAGATTAATATAAAAATGGATACTTTAAAATCGACGATTGGAAGTATGTAAATATATTTTTTGTAATATCTACCCTAATAAACCTCAATGTTTATTTCTTAATTCAAAAAGATGGGATTTATTCTGTTTTAAAAAAAATGTGTGTATCATACATAATTTTATAATAAAGGATATAAATCCTACCTTTTTGAAATTGGAAATAAACATTATTTTCGTGATCAGCTTACTATGATATCCTGAAATTGACTCCTGCATTTCTGTCTAGACGCCTTCGTTAGACGACTGTATGAATCCATGGCTATGCCTGTAGCTTTATCACTTTAATAATAATGAATAAATATGTTGGGGCATTAACACACAACACCGTCTAGTTCCATGGTAAGCTACGAGGTTTGTGTTATGGATACCAGATAGTTGATACACTACACATACACATACATACACATATATAAACTTTAAATACATACATATTATAAATATAAACACCCATGACTGGAGTACAAACATTCCTGTTCATCACACGATG